CACATATATATATATATATATATATATATATATATATATTTTTTATAGAAAAATTTGGGGGAGCCATGGCTCCCCCTGTCCCCAAGAAGGTCCATCCCTGGTTCCAAGCAAATTTGACAAGTTTTTTCTTTGTTGTTTACATTTTTTTTTCTATTAGGTTGGTCTCTTTTTAAAGACAAAGTAGTACTGTGTTGTAATTTCATATGTCAAAGGTAAGAATTAAATTTGATCCTTATAATTAAGAAATATATATGTCTCGAAGTATTTATGTTAACAACTTTCAATAAGATCTAATGGTCAAACAGACAGTGACAAATGACAATTTGAGAAACAAAATTTAAAAATATAAAATAAATAATAAATAATAATTGAGTTTGTGCACACAGACAATCAGTTACATTCGCGTAAATAGGAACAAATACATTTGCATGAGAGCAGGGACAGCTACCCCTACTATTTTTTTGACATTTATAAATATATACATTTATAATTATAAATTATAACTATAATTTGAAATGATAAAATAATTTATAATATAAATATTGTCTCTACTATTTTATTTTAGTCTCATTTTCATTCTCTTGATAGATATTCCATATTACTTCTCTTTTTTTCTTTCAGTGTGCATACCCTGTAATAATTTCTCATCGGATCGTTTTTTACATGTTAGAATAATTTCATAGGTGAAGGTGAAAATCTTCTTCTTTGTCCTTTTCCTTTTGTACTCTTTCGCTCTCTCTTTATGCGAAATATTATTGAAAAGCTTCCACCTCAGTCTTTCTATGGATTCAATTCAGAAAGGGAAAAAGGCAATTTAAGAATAATTTTTCTCAACAGTCTCTTGTCTCTTCATTATTGAAGTTGTAACGCCGATACATGTATATCATTTCATAAGCGGCTTCAATATGCTCAAATGGAAATTAAGAAAGAGAAGAAAAAAAATATTAATGAAGGAAATAACGAATATTAGCTTAACTGAAGATATTTATTAATTAGTAGAAATTTCACTTAGAATACAAAGAACTATAGTGAGGCTGAGAAGAAAGAGCATGGAGCCTCTCAAATTTCAACCATCACAACAATTATAATGACAATAACCAAGTACGAACGAAATGTTCATTCGTTGGCTAAATGGCAAGTGGCAGACAGAACACCAAAGTAAACATAATAGTGATATGAATAACGAATATAGCGAAATATAGAAGAAGCTTAAGACATGATAAAGTAGTTATATGAAGTGTAGATTTAAGCGCAGATGAAATCCTTAGGAGTCTTCTTTCCACAGACGTTGAGTAACAAGCTCAACTTGACGGGGACATTGAGGTTGATGCCCAACACATTAGCTTTGAGAGCGGTGCAAAGGCACACTGCAGCTTCAAGATCAGCAAGACCCTCAATGAGAGAGCAGCATGGGGTTTTTGGTGGCTTCCCAAGATTCACGTTTACCAAACCTAGCAGATTAGCACACACACCAAACTTAAGGGTGTCTTTGGGACAAGTACCAGACTTTGTGGAAGGTGGCTTTGGGACTGGTGGGTGTTTTGGAACTTTTGGGGGTGGGCTGCATGGGACGTATGATGAGCTAACCACAGTGAAGAAGAGAATGTTAAGGGATAAGAGAAGTGCAGCCTTGGAAGCCATTTCACAATAGTGTTTGAAGTTGCTCACTCTTAGAACCCTACTCTTATGCTTTGGTTTGGTGAGTGAGCTTGGAGATGAATGCCTAATGAGTGGGGTTTTATAGGGTAGAATTGGAGACTGTTTTCGTGTTTTAAGGTTTAAAATAATTGAGTTTATTTGGAGGCCCATGTGATGATGTGAATGAGCCCATTGGATGGAAATTCAACAAGCTGGCAGCGGGTCATCAAGTAAAAAGGAATATTATATTATATAATATCGAGTTTTGAAGCATATATGGATTTTGCAGTGTGGTTAGTTGTCACACCATTGAATCATTTCACGCATACGTTAGATAGTTTGATTAATTTCAAACAATATGCATAAGATATTGCGGGTTTTTTTTGTCATTTTTCATCGATTATTCAGAATGAATAATTACGAGGGCACGAGATTGTTCTTATTACCCTGTATTTGTCTCTTACAACTCAACTCGTGTCGTCGATCATGCCAAGCAACTACAATATGCATCTAATTCACGTTTATCTTATCAAAGTTGTCTCCTCAAGTAATGGCTACAAGACTACATATACACATGTCACGATGTTTAAGTAAAACATTAATTCCCTTAGTTTTATTTAAAACAAGGGTTTCATTAAGCTTTTGATCACAAATGTGATTAATAATGCAGCTGATGGTGAAGTCCAAAGATCGTGTGATGATCATGTGAAAGGCTAGCTGAATTAAGCGGTAAACATTTGTCGTTTAGCCTTGAAAATGGAAACCTTGGAACCTGATGCGTATAATATATTATCATCACTGATATATGTATACCGGAGTTCAGAGAAACTCACAAAGAGGTCATTGTACCATCCCTTACTAGTTTATGTTTTCAGAAATGAGTAAATAATATTGTATGGTACACGCTAAAAAAAATTAAGAGTTTTGGTATTTTTAATCAGAAATTCTATGTTTCTTTATCTCTTCTTTGATTTGTCCAAACTTATTCTACTATTGCCTTAAAAAAATTGTTGTACCAAAATCTTTAGATTTTCCTCTATATATCATCAATTCTTATTACGGTAATTTTGATGTTTATAGCTGAGAAACTATTAAGTATAGTTAAAGACAAAGTGTATATATTACTAGTCAATATATTATTTAAGTTTTTTAATTTATAAAATAAAATTAATAACACTTAATTATATTCATGTAAAAATTAATTAAAAATTAAATAATTTTGTATTACCTAATAATTTCTTTAGAAAGTGGCGAATGTTAGTACATTAATTTTTGAAACTAAAAATAAATAAATAAATTTTTAAACTTAATTACTTAATGTTATTTTAATTTCTAAATATATGTTAATATTACGATTTAATCATATTTTTTAAGTTTAGATTAATATAATTGTCAATTTAAATTTTTAAATACTTATTTAACATTTTTTTTTTAGTTTTAAAAACTAATATAACATTCTCTTCCAAATTTAGTGGCCAAAATAATTGTATACTCCATAAATATACATTATAGAAAATCTTTTATATTATTATTCAATTACAAATATATTTTAAGTTTATAGACTTGGGTAATAACTTCGTAGAATTCATACCAGAAACAATTGCTTTTTATTAGTTTTACACAAATATCTATCAAACTATTAAACTCTTATTAAAAAAAAAACTATTTAGAAAATTTGATCCTAGGGTTTATTATGTGAACTGATTGAAGATTTTACGATCCATGGTTATAAAATTTTGCCCTTGCCGCAGATAAAGTTTGACCAAATGAGTTTGTTTTTTTAAAGGGTTAAATAAGTTTTTAATTCATCAATTTTTTAAGAATGCAAATTTTAATTTTTTTTAATGAGGAGACATTCACTTATTCTAAAAGAAAGTTTAACTAAATTTATTTCACTCAATAACTCATATTTTATATCAAATTTTAATGATCAAATTATTAAATTAAAAATTCTTAATACATGTATTAAGTCTACAAATTTTTTAAAATATTTAAAAATTATTTGATTCTTTGTTTCATTAATTCAATTTAATGGATGTTCATTAAATATTTTATATGTTAATTTGAATTAATGAAACAGAATATCAAATAATTTTTAAAAATTTAAAGACTTAATATATACATTAAGAATTTTTAATTTAATGGTTGAATTATTAAATTTAATATAAAATATGAGTTATTGAGTAAAATAAGTTTGGATAGACTTATTCTTGAAATAAATAGATTCTCCTCTTCATTAACAATGATTATATTTATTATTGGTATTGTTTTTATTTACTATACATTTGCTTTAAAATAATATATATATATATATATATATATATATAATTATTTTACATAACTATTTTTCTATTCCGGATAATTTGAGTTTTAAGGTTATTTTAATCTTAATTTAAGTTTAATTTTTGAAATTTGAATTTTCACACATTATTCCATCATGTTTATATATTTTGATTTAAACAAGTATTTTAATGTGTATTGTACAGGATAAATTTTTATTTAATACATATAATTTTTAGAATAAATAATATCTTTTATATATATATATATATATATATATAAATTATACTAGAATTAAAAAATTTAATTAGTAAATATTCTTTTATCATATAAATTATATTTTAAATTTCTATAAATAATTTATATTGTAATATAAGGTTATTTTTAACTATTGATATTTTTTTAAAATATTTAAATTTAATTAATAAAAAATAAAAAATTAGATGAATAAATTAAAGTTAATAGAAATTTTTAAAAACACTTTTTTTTAAAGTAAAACAACTAAAAATATTCTTATTAAAAAAAACTGGTCTCTAAAACCTATTCACTATAGCTATTTGATTCAATATATAGGATGATAATTTATTTATATATCTTACTTATCTATTTAAAATATCTTATATTTTTAAGTAATATTAAACAATAAAATTGTAATATAATTTAATAATATAAAACTATTTACTATCATATGATTTTTTCTATTCATTATTTCACTTTTTTTTTACTAAATTATATTTTTGACGATTATATTAAGTTTAAATATGAATTTTTTTTTACCCATAAAATGGTCAAGTTTTGATTTTAGCCCTTATACAAATTTTTACTTTTTTCATCTTCTAAAATTTAGGAATATTATTTTTAGTCCTTATTATTAAGTAATTATTTTTTAATCAGTGATTTATTTAGTACAAGGTTAAGTGAGAATTTCAAGTGTAACCTACAATTGTTAGTGATACTATATTAGAGTGTAATTAAATAATATAATTATTCAAATTTTATTGAATTACTTTCTTCTCTTTTTTTTGTTTTTATCTAAAATCTATTATAAACTACTAACTATGTGGAGGGAAAAAAATTAAAATTTAGTAAAAATAAAAGTCATGTATTTTTTTAATATCTAATTAATATATATTTTTTAAAAGTATTTAAGAAATATTATCCTGTTTTATGTTTCAAATATAAACCTAATGTTATTAGGTTAAAGAATGAGATAACACTTTCTTTTATCGATAGAAATTAAAATAATAATAATTAATAAAATTTAAATTTACAATCTTATACATATTTTTCACTTCAATTATTAGACTAATCTCGTTAATTCTTAACGAGATAACATTTGAATAAAAAGAAAAAAAGAGAAGGTTGAAAATATAAATTAGAAAACCTTCTTATAAGTATGAGATTTACATGCAATACTAACGAATAAATCTCGGTACAAAATATACATGTCCACGTATAGAAAGGACGTTAAACCATATTATAGTTATAACATGCACCAAGAAACAAACAAATAAATAATCTAAGTTGGTATGAAAAAGTAAATTATTAATATTCTAACATATTTATAATTTTTCATATATATATATATAGTTAATTGCATTATACTAATAACAAATAATTAATATATGAAATTAAATAAAACATCATATAATTAATATAACAACATCAAAATACATATATATTATGAATCAGCTAACTAGTTGAGGTGTTATCATCATGTTCAAATAATCCATCAGG